CCAGTCCCCACCCCCCATCTCTCCCCCACAAGCCTCATCCACCTCCTCAGGCTGTCACCACAGGCGCCCCTTCCATTTAATGTCTTCCTTTGCTCCGGTCATATAGAATGTGCTGATGACTGGCCCCGAACTCAGGCGAGTCCCGGCAGCAGCAGCAGGACACAGTGTTGTGGCTCTCCGCCCCTGAGTGGTGTACTGGTTCCACTGAATTCACTTATTTTGGTTCTGGTTTGTGGTTTGCTCTAAGTCGATCTCAGTCATTGACAGCTTGGGCACTCTGGATGGAATGGGGGTTAATCCTCTGTGACAGTATTTATTATTAAACATGAGCTTGAATAATAGGGATCACCTTGGACGCCCCTTACAAATGCTAATTCCCAGGTTCCACACTCAGAGATGCTGATCCTATAGATTTAGAGAAGGAACCCATAAAGCAACATAAAAAAAAAAAGACTGCTGAGTTTGTAATGACCTGTGGGCATTGGACAAAGATGACCCAAGATGGTGGTTCTCAACCTCGCTGCTCACTAGACTTAGAATAGTTAAATCAGAGAGGTTTAGCGGGAGTCAGGAGGCGGTAGTTTTTAAATGCTCCATCCTTACATGGTTCCAATGTAAGTTCCAATGTAAGGATGTGGTCAGGAAGCAGCTCCCTAAGGAGTGAAGAGGAGCAGAAGTGAGGGTAGAATAAGCAGTGGGGCAAGGTCTAAAGGCAAAAGGCAAATAGGACCCCTTGCCTGCTCCGCAGCTGACTCTTGAGGGGGGTTGCTTTGCGCCTCTCAGTCTGATTTGCTCCTCTGAGGGCATGTTTGGGTTTACGCTACACACACTAGTCGGTAGCATGTACGCCAAGGTGGGGAATAGAAAGGGCGCTGGGCTGAGAGCTGTTTTGCCAGGCTTCCCCTGCCCTTTTCATAGCGCTTCCTCCAGGCTTGCCTCTTGAACCCTAACCTTGTTTGTTTCTGTAGACTCTTGTGTCTGGTTGTTTTGTGTCAGGCTGTGCCTCTGAGCCCAAGGCCGTGCAGTAGGGTAGCGGGAATATAGGTTGTGAGTGAGGAGTGTCTTCGTAGTGATGATCGGGATCCAAAGGCTTTCAAATTCTTCTGTGGAGGGTGTTCCTTCCCGGGGAGGATCAAATCTGGGAGGCTTTTCCAAGACCACAGTAAGATGTGTTTTCTCTCCTTTGGGCCCTCGCCATTTTCTCTTTAGTCCCATGTTGGTTAGGCTGCTAGTTGGCTCTTTTTTCTGGTGCTTTCCCAGAACTCGCTGCTCTGAGAAACCAAAGCTGTGAAAAGTGAATGCTCTGCCCAGGTACTTGTCCTGGACAGGGGCCCCAAGCCCCGGACAATGGAGAAACTCTCTGCTTTTTAGGGGGAAGACATGAGGGCTGGGGGAGGATGGACAAGGGGGCACCTGAGGAAGAAGGGACAGGGCAGGAGAGCCCCCAGCTACTAGCATGGTAGTTGGGTTTTCGTGTCCCAGAAGGAACTGAAAAGGGACACATTCATAGGCAGGATGGTCTTCTAGCAAGAACCACCCCAGAACTCCGCCAACCATGCAGAGGAACTGCAATTTCTCGCCCTTGCCTTCAATTGACCAAGTGTCAGCTCTTCTTAAATCCATACCCATCTAGTTAAAACAAGAGAGGTGGTACGGTCATCACTCCTGACACTGGGAGCCTGTGCCACCATGTCACTTGGCATGAGACTGAGGAGGGAGAAGTCAAAAGGAGAGATGGCTTTCTGTCCCTGCGGCTTCTCAAGGAGCCGACGAGATGCTGTGAGCCACGAAGGGAGACACCAGGATGGGACTAAAGACCTCACCAGGTTTTGGGTTTAGAGTCCTCTCAATCAACCGTCCATTTCTTGAACTTAACCTCTCCTCTCCCTCCCCTTTGCCTGGTTAGAAAAAGGCGACTAGGTTCCGCATGTGCACTTAGCTGGTCACTCATGGAGCACAACAGGTTTATAGCAACTCATCTGCCACACAAACCGCTTGGCTGATGGAGTCTGCACTGAGTTGTTTCATCACCATGTAAAGTGGACTACATTCAGCTTTACTATACACCGGCTGTGAGAACATAATAAACAAAACCTGAACAAGCAAGCGGCTCTTCGCTCTCTGCCCACATTTCTGGCCATCTGACTCTTTATGAGGCAACTCTTCACACAACACATGGATTCCCCAGGGGGAGCATGTGGCCCTGGCCTGCAGAGGCTGGCACGGGGCTGGCCACCAGGAAGAGCAGGGGTGTGGCTAGACACGGGTTGGTTGAGAATGGTCTGGGGCCGCGGAGGGGGGCGGTTCTGAGGGTGACTTTGAAACTGTGAAGTGCTATACAAAAGCCAGGTGGTATTTTTATTTGTGCCACCCACGGCTTGGAAACGCAGGGAGAGAAAAGGCTGGTGATGGAAGTCTGTTCAGCTGGGGCCGTCTAAACGCGCAGTGGGCTCACATTGCTTATGGCTTGGAGCTTGCTTTGTGCAGTGGCGCACAGTGGCGTCCAGAGACGGAGGGTGTGGCATTAGTCACCAACTCTTTGTGCCTGGTGCTCAGGACCTGCTGAGGGGACAGAGGGAGGATGGGACACTGGCTCTGCCGGTAAAGGCTTAATTCTTCAGGTGGGGCGAAAAATGGAGCTACATCAGATTTTAATAATCCAAATAAATTGAAATGAAATTAAGATCAGACCAAAGAGGTCTGGCTTTAGTGGAAAGTTGATTTTTCTTCAGAGGTAAAAACTTTCTGAGCTAAATGACAAAGGGATGATTATGCCAACGGTGCCCTCAAACCCCATTGTGCAGATCAGGAATGATGGCAGGGCTGCTGTAGAGTAGAGCCCTCCCCAGGGGTACATGTGACGGCTTCCTCTTTTTCCTGTTTCCCTTTCTCCTTCTCTTATTGGCAGCTAAGGTCTCCATCTGCTGTCTCCAGGAGAGGGTGGGGGTGGGTGTTGGGGTGGGGGGGCAGAAGAAGAGATAAAGGAGGTAAAGGACAAGGTTCTCATGTCTGGTGTGGCTGCCGTTTAGCCTGGGCTGTGAGCTCTAAGCCCGAATGGACTCTGCTGCGTCCTTCTAGTTCCCTGGTGACCCTGCGTCTCTGGGGACACTCTTTACAGCACCACCAATGAGAGTGACTTCCACTCTAACTGTGCCTGCTTCTTCCTGGGCTATGCCCTGTGCTTTGGTGGCCCCCTGCGGTCTGCCTTCTTCCACAGGTCACAGGATGACCCTGTGCTGGCCTTCACGGAAGGTGCTTACAACTGGTCCACTGGGAATACTTAGGCCTGACAAAGCAGGAAGTGGGCTTTGTCTGGCAGCCAGGCTCCTTAATCAGCATGACACAGACATCACTGACTTTCTAGGCTGAAATCAGACCCCCATCTCTGGGCCTCAGGCATCAGGGGCCCTTGCCAGGCTCTTCAAGGGACCATGGGACCTGCTCCCTGCTAGGGGTGAGGAGAGAGCTAGGCACCCTCTTCCTTTCTTCCTCCTCTTCCTTCTGGGGAGGGGCATGGTGGGACTAACAGCTCTCAACAGCTTCCTCCATAAAGCTTCACCGAGTCTCTCCTACCTGTGGTCTTCTGCTCTTTGGACAGGGTCTGGGACTCTCTCACCGGCTTTTCACTCCTTCCCTTAATGGTTACTTGGTTTCGAACGAGCTTTTGAATCTGAGTGCTCTTCTGAAGGCTGACAGAAAGCTCTTGCACACATAAGGGACTTGGGGGCAACACCAGAAGTTTCCTAACACATGGTATCCGAGGGAAAAATAAGTCCTACATCTACTAAGTGAGAGTCATTGCCAGAGGCAAAGAAGGCACTTGAGAGAGAAGCTTCTGTGCGAAGCATGCTTAGCTGGGAGTGTTTTAGCCGGTAAACATGGAGCTGCTATAAGAAAACACCACAGGACAATGGACCCGGATGCCTGTTATGCCACCCCCCGTTTGGCCAAGTTCTAGGCCCTACTTCTGAGTTGCAATAGTAGAAAGAAATCATTTTATAAAAAGGCCCAAATCTCACCTGTCTGTGCCTCACCCCATAGCACAGAGCCCACATCCCAGGCCACAGTAGCTAGATGGGAAAGGCCACTTCTAAGAACTGCCTTTGCTAGGGTCACAGCTACATGCTCTTCTGAGGAGTTTGTATTTTGATGCTAAAATATCTGGAATAACAGAGTGGTGGTTCAGCTCTGATCAGTAAGTAATCAGCAGGAGAACAGTGTGGTGCGCAGCAAGCACAGTGTGGTGCGCAGCAAGCACAGTGTGTGTCGGTTAATGGAGCTTTCTCTTAAACAGAAACCATCAGAAATCAAGAATCAGCACTGTTCTCCTTTGCTTCTTGTTTAAATATGAAAGAGAACCAAGGCCAGTTTAGGGGGCAAAGGCAATTGCTGTGCAAACCTGGTGGCGAAGTTCCATCCCCGGAACCTGTATAAAGGTACAAGGAGAAAAACCATCCACAAGGTTGTTCTTTGGCTTCCAAATGCACAGCCTGGCCAGTGTGTCCCCCACACTAATCATGAGTTCTCACAATACGACAGTAATAAGTAACAACGAAAGAAACCCATGGGAAACCAATGCTGTTACAAAATCAATGTGTCATCCCTTCGTTGCTACTACATTAGACTCCCCAAGGGCTGAGACTGTATTCCTCAGTACTTACTCTAGTCCCTCAATGTTTACTGAAAGAGTGTTGAATCCACAGTGCTTAAGGGAGGCACCGCTTCACAGTTTAGATAGTTTAGGGTGGAGGCAAGAACTCGAAGACCTGGAACTCCTTGGCACATACAGGATGTTCCTTCCACTTTACAAGCATTGGCACCTGCCAGATGGATGTTGGTGGCTGCGTATTTACAAACCAGAAAAATAAAAGGAAAGAACTGGGGGTCAGAAGTTTAGCCGCATGGTTTAGATTCTTCTTCTAGCTGGATCCCTGCAATTGTTCTATGAGGCAACAGATTAGTTTGTAGGACTGTTGAAACAAAATACCACGGACAGCATGTCTGAGACAACAGAACTTTATTGTCTCATAATTTTGGAGGTAAAATTTTAAGATCAAGCTGCTTCTAGGCTGGTTTCCACTGAGGCATCCCTCCTGAACTTGCTGAGGGCCATTTGCTTGCTACTGGGAAGATGTACATCCCTGAGCTGCGGGCTTCAGTCATGTCCCTAACCCTCCTTCAGGCACCAGTGCCAGTCTTGTGGGCACCTGCAGGGGCTAGCTCTCTCCAGAGGTAGCTGATGGGAGAGCACAGGGGGTTTGGATCTAGACAATAGGCCAGAGACTCAATGCTGCCCCTGTACAGGCCCCTGAGGAGGGCTCTTGACTTCCAAGCATTGACTTTTATCTGCCATACTTAAAGTATGGAGTTACTTACATTCATCTGTTGCCAATGCTTATGAAGCGGAAAGTCCCCAAGAGCCAAGGAACTCCTGGAGTCCCCCTCCCCCCATCTCACAGTGACAGCTGTCATAATGGATTAGAGATGTGCCCTTGTTACATCACTTTAATGTCATCACCTCTTTAAGAGTCCTGTCTCCAGATTCTGAGGTCCTAGGGGTTAAGCGTCACCATTGTAAATTTAGGAGAAAGCCAGTCAGGCCACTATCAGGTAGATGCTGTTGTTAGCCCTGAGAATGAAAGAGAACACGGAAGAACAGATAGGTTATCATAGGATATCCCCAAGATCACACAGGCTAGATTTGGCAGAACTGGGCTTTAGCATTCTGGTACTCTAAATCCAGAGTCAACATCCCAGTGAGAACAGGAGGAGCTGCAGCAAGTACATAGGTCCTGTGGGGAGCCTGGGGTGCTAGAGCTAAGCTGCTCGTGGGATGGGACAGATAAGGCTACACCAGTGTGAACTGACTTCTCTATCTTTTGGTCTCCCAGTGGGAAACAACCATGGTTGAAAGACCTGTTGCAAAGCCTGCCTGCGGGAGGATTGGCCAATTATGTGCCAGGCTGTTCTCTGGCAATGAGGGCAGATGCAGTCATTGAGTTTGTGCCTACCCTGCCCTTTGTACCATCTCCACTAGTCCACCAGCCTGTCTCCCACGGCACATCAAGGGCGCTTTTTAGGGAGGCTGAGTAACAACCCTGTCCACAACCTGAGGACATGCGGCTCATCTCCCTCATCTACTGTGGAAAGGCATGTTTGCAAACTAAAATGCTATTTCCATCTCTCAGGTGTTAATATTAGCCTTGTGGGCACACATAGGGGCTGGCTCTCCCCAGAGGCAGCTGGTGGGAAAGCAGAGAGGATTCTGATCCAGAGAGGCAGGAGACCGAATACTGATACCGTCTAGGACCCTGGGGGAAAGTACTTAGCCTCTCCTGGCCTTACTTTTCTTATTATCAAAAGGGGGCCCAGTACATTTTCTGGCAGGGTAGCCACAAGAATTACGGGTAATTTCTTGAAATCACCTCGAGCAGGACCAGGTATTGGGGAGGTGCTTATAGAATTATACTTCTGAGTATTGGAGTTCCTGGTCCTTGTGTGCAGACATAGTAAGACTGGACCCCTTACACTTCCCTGGGATCTGAACCTGTCCTGAGGCAGCTGGCAGTTGGTCAGCTGAGGTGGATAATGGAACTGTGCCTGCAGAAAAATGCAGGACCTCTGCCAGCTTGGGACCAAGGCCTCTTCATTTAAGAGGGTACCGTGTTCTGCAAGTAAGGTACGCCGGACTGAACACTCTTCAATCCACCACCCCAAAGGCAAACAGATTAACTGGATGTTTGAGTTGGCAGAGCTAAAGAAAACAGCCTCCTTGCATCAGATCTACTGATCAGGCACGGACAGCATGCTCTTACCTAATGTATCCCAGCAGGAATCGAGCTATACCTTTGACTTGTAGCCTCTGTCTGGGGAACACAGGTGGTTGCCCACACTCTGAGCCCACGGTGTACACTGTTCTGGGATGAATGGGAATGGAGCCCCTTCCGACTCACACTCGCCCTGTGTAGGCTTGCTGGGATGTGAAAGGAAATGATTTCTAAAAATGAACATGTCAGGGGTTTTCCAGTAAGGGTATTGTTAGGCCGTTGGTAACCAGTGAGCAAGGATCATTAAAACCTGGCAACTCCTCAAGGAGTGATTGGTAGCATCTCCCAGGAGATGGCAAGGAAGTGGGGTGAGGGGCTAGGATGTGGGATCTCCAGCGAGGCTTCTGGGAGCTTGTGTATCATGAGCATGTTCACATCCCAGTATATATGGATCACGGAAATCTCTTTCTGCGGAGTTGAGGAGTGGCCCCTGGGGAGGTGACTAAGGCCAAGACTCAGAAGTCAACTTGCTCTCTGCAACCTTGGCCTTCGAGAAAGAGAGAGCGGACAGGCTCAGTGAGGATGCAACCCTGAAGCAATCAAGGGTGAATAGCCTAGCATACTCTCTCTTCAGGGGCTGCCATGTCTGAGATAAAGCAACCTGAAGGAAGAGAGGTGCGCGTGTGGGTATAGCAGAGCTGTGGAACCCTGTTCCTCTCACTGCTAAGCGGCCTTTTGCAGGCAGCTCTGTTGAGGGCCTTGTCTCGGGCAGCAGGAGCATTCTCACACAGAGGGCCTGCAGCCACCGAGACAAGCTCCCTTTGTTGAGGGAGCAGCTGTTGGCCACTTGCGCACTGGCCTGGGCTAATCCCTCTTTTGAGTAGGAGCTGGAAGGCTGGATTCTAAAATAAAGGAGATGGGAGAGGCACCATGCCAAGCTCAGTGCCTCCTATCTTGATCAGTAACTTCTTGAGGTGAGCCCAACGTATGTTTGTGGTATGCTATCTCTTTGCTTCACCTAAAATCCTACGACAGCCACACACGCCACACACGCCACCCACCCCCATCAAACATACCTTCCCTCCCCCTACACCGACTTAGCATTATGACAGCCGTCCATCCCTGAGGGCCTTTTTGTCTCGCTGGCACCTGCCCCTGTTCTCTGCAGTGTTTAGGGACAGAATGGAACATTTCCAGGCTGGAGAGAGGCCAGAGAAGGCATCTCAGACCATTAGATTGCCATCCCTGCCCATTTATAGGACAACAGCCTGTACTTATTGGCAGCTGGGCAAAGACACCCCTGGGTGCCTGCTTGTGCGCACAGGTTGGGGGTGGTTGGAAGAGTCAGGAGATGTCCTCCGAAGCTGTAGAATTGCCTACACATCTGCCACCCATCCAGAGAGGAGAGAAACAAGTCAGAGGCACAGAAGTAACACTTCCTATAATCCCGTAGAGAGGCCATTGGGGGAGAGGAAGGGGCACGATGTCTCTGGTGTAGGGACACCAGGACAGACAACATCTCATTTAATCTTCTTTGCAACAGTTCTGATGCTTCCCGGGCTCAGAAGTGTTAACCGAGTTCCCTAGTGAGTGGCAGCTGGGATGGCAGACTCTGCCTCCCTGTCGGTGCCCTGGCTCCCAACATAGGCAGAGCCTTCCTGAGGAAAAGGTCCAGGCCTCTCTACAACAGTATTTTCTCTGTAAGAGGGCTGAGCGTGTACTAAAACTTTCAGCCATTGTCACTCTCTCTGCCTGGAGTGTGAAGTCTCTCAGGACCCGAGTCAAGGCTGATACTCCTTGGTTGGCAGTCCTGTTGCTCGGGACCTTGGTAGGTCACACGATTCCCGTTTTAGTTCTCCTGAAGATGAGCAGTAACCCTGGACAACCCTTCCAGCGCAAAGATGAGAGCCCTCACTCTCCGCCCGTGGGACTTGGACACTAGATGAATTTCCAAGCTGACCCTGCACTTTCCCTTCTAATCTTACTTCAAACACCTAACACAGTCGTTCTCAACCTGTGGGTCATGACCCCTGCGTCTGTCCCCCCCCCCCCCCAAGACTCTGTCTCTGAAAATATTTACATCATGATTCATAACAGCAGCAAAATTACAGTTAGGAAGCAGCAGCGAAATACTTTTGTGGTTGGGGGTCACCACATTGAGGAACTGTATTAAAGTGTTGCAGCATTAGGAAGTCTGGGAACCTCTGCTCTTGCAAATTCCACTGCTCAGGCTGTGAGCACTGATCCGCCTCTGTCTTGGGAACAAGTGAGGCTCCTGCCTGAGCCTTGGGCCTGTCTTGGGAGGGACTGTATAGACTCTGCAGAGACAATATGCGGATCCAGGAAGCCTGCCAGCCACAGAGCAGCAACAGCTGGCCTGCCTAGGGCATATTTGCCTGGTAATTCTAATTTTTATTTGAATGCCCATCTGCCCCAGCCCTGACATCACAGTGCAGCTGTGGTCTTGTTTTCCCTTCCTGTTGCATGCGCCCAGGGCATGGTCTTGCACTCACTTATGGGCAGTTAAATGGCTCTGTGGGTGGCCTCACCCTGGTTAGGCTGTGTATGGGGTAGATGTGGGTTTAATGGGCAAAGCAGGAGCAACCAGGAAGGCTCTGGCTCTGTGTCAAGGTACCTTAGGGGAGGGGCACCTGCCAGGGAAGTGTGGGAGCTTCTCATCTGATCTGAGGGAGGAGGCAATACCCTGGGAGCAGACTGCTCCCCAATCCCAGAGGGGAGTGTTTGGTAAGAAAGGGCTCAGCTCTGCAGATTAAAGGGCCACATGACTCTTCATCAAGACCAAAGCAGGGTTTGCAGGCCCAGTAGAGATCAAGAAGGTACGGTAAGCAGGCGTTCTAAGTGCTCGGCATTACCAGCAAAAATGAGTTCTTAGTTCAGAATAAGACTTGTGTGGGCCAGTCATGATAAGCTAAGTTTAGATAGGTCACCCAAAGGAAGTTCTTTATTTCCAGCCGTTATCACCTGCCAGAATAGAACCCGGCCCTCGATAAATTTAAAGAGGCCTGAATCTCAGTAGTTTACCCTGAGGCAATACCTGGTTGCAGGACCCACTGCCCAAGAACAGACTATTCAAAGGAAAACCCTAACATTCCAACCACTGTAGATAGGATCACCTACCAGCACACATTCACCTGGACACCCCTAGACAAATGTTAGCCAATCAGGGGTCCTGAACCTCAGAAACTCCTCACCCCCACCTTTATTACTATAAAAATCCCAATTCTAATTGAGCTCGGGGATCTCCGGTTATTCCAATACTTTGGACATGCGGAGAGACCAAGTTTGCAAACTTGATTAAAATAAAGGCTCTTTGCTTTCACATACGGAACTCAGTTTCCTTGTTGGTTTTTGCGGGGACTTCGTGGATGTGGGCATAACAACTTGGAGGTATGAAGGTCTCCTCATGATTCTGATGGGCGGGGGAGCCAAGTCCCGCCCTCTGTTTTTCCTCTGCTCTTCCAATAGCGGTTTTGAATGGAAATCTTGATTGGGCTGCTTGCTCGCTGTGTGTTATTGAAAACTTCCAGGAATCTTTCTGAGACTCCATTTTCATTTGTTAAGCGGACTTAGTAACTCAGAAGTGTTTTTGTTCATGCTTGCCACCAAATGTCAGCGGCATGGCTGCAAGTAACAAAAGACTGGACATTTTACACCATGGAGCCCTCACGAGAACAACTAAAACCTTTACAGGAATATCACGCAGCTGTAAAAATGGATGCCAGCAATGCTCTATGCCCCTCTAGACGAAGTTTAGAAAGATAATGTATGAAAAAGAAAGAAATTTTCTTAACATTTAAATGCAATGAGACTGTACATACATACATACATATATAATTGGTTTGTTTGCTTTGAGACAAGGTTCCGCGATGTCGCCTGGAACTCAGTATGTAGACCACGCTGACTTCAAATTCACAGAGATCCACTGCTTCTGCCTCTAGGCTATCACGCCCGGCAACAATATAGTTTATGGACTTGATCTATGTGCAACAAACCTAAAGAGGGCAAGAAAATGGCAGGGGCTGGGTAGTGGGAGGCAGGGGAGAGCAGGAGACCAGGAGCTTCTCTCTAATTCCCCTCCACGTTCTAATGCTTGGGCATAGGTTCAAGTCTCTGTATCACATTGTTAAAACAAGTGGCTGAGAGAGAGAGAGAGAGAGAGAGAGAGAAAAGTAATAGTGAAGACTCAAGCATGATTATACGGATAGTATTAGGATAGTATTAAATGAAGCGAGGGTTATGAAGATTCACTCAGTTTTATGCACTGTGATAGTGACTGCAGGATTGCATCATACTACAGAAAATGCCTCCCATCCTCCCACAACAAAAATGCTTCCCATCCTCCTAGGGTCCGGAAGCTGGACAACCAGGAGTTCAAGAAATAACCCACCGGAAGTAGGGACTTTATCTTGGTCCCCACCAAGAAGAGATGGATAGAAAGTGAAGTCCAGATGGCCTTGCACTAAGCCTTACAAATTAGCACTGAACAAAACAAGAAACTAGATGGCAAAGACGAAGCCTAGAAACCCCAAAAGCCACCAGCAAGGGAGCGGTGGCACTCTAGAGTGTCTCTCCAAGGTGACTCAACTCATTGTAATATTAAAATGCATGCCCCTGGGTGGAGATTTAGGATGTTAATGAGATGTGTGATGCATGAAGCCATACCTAGAACTGCACATCGGAGGGCACACACAAGAAAGTCCTGTGCAGTTAAAGTGACTCAGCCATGTGATGTAAATCCTACTCGTGTGCGGCAGGGGCTGTCTGAACCACTAACCTTTTGGTCTCTGCTTTGGCTCGCTTCCCTTCTTAGAAATGTATGCTGTTCTAATAAACTGTCCCTGCTGCTCTCCACCCCTCTCTGCTCGATTTGTCGCTCCTGTGCCCAAGAACTCAGAGCCCCTCAGAGGTGCCCCTGGGACCCTGTTACTGATCAATATCATTATGTAACTGATTCTTCAGGGTAGACTCCCAAGACACTCATTCACATCCATTTCCTTCCTCTCTTGTTCTACTTCTGGCTCCTGAGACCACAGTTTCCTTTCCCACATCATAGAGTTCCATAGAGTGTAGCCGCAGTATCCAGACGCCTTCGGACATTAAGTGTCCCCTTAACTCATTTTCTATTTGCCCTGTGCTCAGCCGGGAGATAGAAAGAAAACATGGCTCTTGAGTCCGGAGATCC